TCCGCGCCCTGGCCCGCAGTGCGAGGCGCGACGTGACCGCGAACAAAAGTTAAATAATACTCGCCCTGAAGAAGGATCCGAAACTAGTCGGTGCCGTCACCGGAAGATAAAAGCGTGAGTTGAGCCATTCTTAATTAATTATTGGTTTAAGCAAAACCTTACATAAGGTGCTGTTATATATTTAAGTGTTTTAGTATCCAGCTCACATAATACAGCTATCTTTTTTTATTATAAGGATGTCTGCGTTTAAATGAACTGAAAGTTTTGTTCGGTGGCTGATGTTGTTTGGTTTGGTACTGAGCGATCACTGGTGCTTCGTTTGCTGCCAACTTGTTGATCACAAAATCATCACCTGCATTCATATTCTCCATCATCTTGAGTTTAGCTTCAATCGATTGGATGGCAGTCTTTTTACTCAGTTTCATTTCTGGCTTCGCACCGGCCAGAGCTGGTATGCCTAATTCTGGCTTTGGTTTATCTTGATCATCCTGAAATTATTATTCATATTAGACAGAAATAGTTAGAAACTATTTGTTTTATTGAACACTAACTGTCGCTCACACCTTTTGCCATACAGAAATAAAAATTGTAATAAATATAGCCTATGTTACATAATGATAACATAGCTATTTATTGTTGACAGAATTTTTTAAATTGGCTCAGTAGTTTTTGAGTAATTTATTAAAACTTTTGTGAGACATTATACTTTATAAATTATAAGATGGCTAAACTCACCCATCCTATAATTTATACAGTTTTTGAGTTATATAAATACATGCAAAAATATCATTTCTCATTATAATATTAGGAAACATCACTAGGTATGGACATTGTCAATTAATTGTTTATTGTTCCCTAGTGTCTAAATGCATAAATGTGAATCTTTATAATAAAAAATTGCTATCACTTGTAAATCTGTCCATGCAAACTTTAAAAATAACATTTTACTTTACTATAATACATGTATACCAAATATCAATCCAAGGTTTCAAAAAATGTACTTACAGTTGTAGTCTTGGCAAATTTCACACATATCCTTTTCGAACCTAATAGCTGGCCACTTAGTGAGTTCATTGCGGTAATGGCATCCTTCCTCAGCTTATAAGTAACAAATGCGAAGCCTCGTGGCTGGCCTGCATTAGGCCCACTCCGGTGAAAAAGCATATCAAACTTCTCGATGTTTCCGTACACACGGACCATTTTCAGTAATTGATACCGGTAAAGTGAAAAGGGTAATGGTTACTGGAGTGAACATTATACAACTCTTAAGTTATATGAAAATAGTTGTAGGGCGTTTTCGAAACTCTTGCCTCCGAAAAGCATGTATTTTGATTACTACACATATAAGATTATTTAACAGAAATCATTGCTTATGTATTTTAAATTATTTCTCAAGAATGTGAGGCACATGTTAGTTAGTTGCATATCCAAAATGTTTAAATTTTGTATATGGTGTTGTAATGTCAGTATTAATAAACATCAGGTGTTGCTTCCAAAATTTTACTTTTGTAATAATTATCACACATTATACTTCGGGCTTTGTCCTCGAGATTAGCAGAAGTTCACATGTAGTACCACATACGGTGTCGCCATCTAGCACTGTATTTGAGAAA